GAGACTACTCTCAATTCCCTAGATCAACTATGTTCTCTTTTTTTGTTTTTTGAGTCAGAGTCTTGCTCTGTCACCCAGGCTGGAGTGCAGTGGCACAATTTTGGCTCACTGCAACCTCCAACTCCTGGGTTCAAGCAATTCTCCTGCCTCAGCCTCCTGAGTAGCTGGGATTACAGGCTTGCATCACCACACCCAGCTAATTTTTTTTTTATTTTATATTTTTGGTAGAGAGGGGGTTTCACCATGTTGGCTAGGCTGCTCTCGAACTCCTGACCTCAAGTGATCCGCCTGCCTTGGCCTCTTAAACAGAGAAATACATAACCATAATTTATGGGTAGTGTGTTATAAACCAAAAAGTATCTGAGACAGATCTCAATTGATTTACTTACTTACGTTTTTGAGACAGGTTCTCGCTCTGCCACCCAGCCTGGAGTGCAGTGGTACAATCTCAGTTTACTGCAACCTCTGCTTCCTGGGCTCAAGTGATTCTCTCACCTCAGCCTCCCGAGTAGCTGGGACCACAGGCGTGTACCACCACATGTGCTCAGATAATTTTTAAATTTTTTGTAGAGATGAGGTCTCCCTATATTGCCCAGGCTTGTCTCAAACTCCTGGGCTCACGCAGTCCTCCTGCCTCAGCCTTCCAAAGGGCTGGAATTACAGGCATGAGCCACCATGCCTGGCCTTCATTCAGTTTAGAAGTTTATTTTGCCAAAGGTAAGGACTGGCTGTGACACAGCCTTTGGAGGTCCTGAGAACATGTGCCCAAGGTGGTCAGGCTATACCTTGTTTTTTATACATTTTCAGGAGACATAAGACATCAATCAGTACATGTAAGATGTACATTGGTTTTTGTGGAAAGGCAAGACAACTTCAGTTGGGGGCTTCCAGGTCACAGGTGGATCCAAAGATTTTCTGATTAGCAATTGGTTGAAAAAATTTATCTAAAGGCCTGGAGTCAATAGAAGGGAGTGTCTGGGTTAAGATAAGGAGTTGTGGAGACAAAGGTTCTTTTTTTTTTTTTTTTTTTTTTTGAGATGGAGTCTCACTCTGTCACCCAGGCTGGAGTGCGGTGGTGTGATCTTGGCTCACTGCAACCTCTGCCTCTTGAGTTCAAGTGATTCTCCTGCCTCAGCCTCCCGAGCAGCTGGGATTACAGGTGCCTACCACCATGCCCAGCTAGAGATGGGTTTTCACCGTGTTGGGCAGGCTGGTCTCGAACTCCTGACCTCAGGTGATCCACCCACCTTGGCCTCCTAAAGTATTGGGATTACAGGCATGAGCTACCATGCCCAGCCTAATTTCTCCATTTCTTTATGGAACATTATACATCTGATTTAACATAACAATGTGATCATTTTAATTATCTATTTCCTTTTTCTCTTTTGGCAACTGTCATTCTATCCTCGTAACAACCTTGTTCCAATTCTTCTAAAATTCTCTACCTTCCCTTAGTATGTGTTGATTTCATTTTTGGAATAAGGTTTGTCTAAAGCTGCTTTAACTTGTTTAACTTTTGTGGACTCTGGCACTGAGTTTAACATTTAAATACATTTGGAGGAACCTTTTGGATGTCATTTTAGGAGTGTTGGGAAGAGCTATTCTTCCTGTGCCCCCTCTCATTCCAACCCATTTCTCTCTGATTTGATTGTTAATATTTGCAATTTTATCCTTTGAATTTGCTTCCTCTGATATTAAAATACAGACACTCCTGGGAACAATCAGTTACTCACACTTGATTGTGAATGAGGCTCAGAGGGTGGGATTTGATAAGGGGGTAGGGATAAGAGCAAGACAATTCTGGAAGCTGGTACAGATGTTGTTGTCAGGCTGTTTGTGGAAAGACTGCTAAATACAGAGTCTGGTCTGCTACTCACTACCTGTAAACTTGTTGGAGTCACTGAACACTCCTGAACCTCAAGTATCACATATGAAATATGGGATAATCATGCTTGCCTGGTTTACCTAACAGGATTATTTGAAGGCCCAAATGAGAGTATATCTGCAGCAAAAAGTTTGTAAACTCTGACGTGCTATGCAAAGTAAAGATACTAAAGGGCTCAACGAAAGGGAGAAGGAAATGTGGCCAAGGCAACGTCTACTTATGTCACAACTAAGGTGGATTCTGGCGCCACTCTACGATCATACTCAGAATTATGACAGTTCAGATGACCAGGAATCATATATCACTTTCCATATATCGTTGCATTAAAGTAAGTCACTTCCAGCCTGGCCAACACAGTGAGATTGCATCTCCACAAAAAATAAGAAAAACCTCGCTGGGCATGGGGGCGCTTGCCTGTGGTCCCAGCCACTTGGGAGGCTGAGACGGGAGGATTGCTTGAGCCAGGGAGGTTGAGGTTACAGTAAGCCTTGATCCTGATTGCGCCACTGCACTCCAACCTGGGCAAAAGAGTGAGACCATGTCTCAAAAAAGGAAGCCACTTTTCTTTTCTCTTTACTTTTCTTCTCTAGGACAGTCCATGCCAGCCTAGCTGCTGTCCCTGAGTGGCAGCATAGGGAACTGTAGGGGCAGGGACTGTGCCCTTCCTAGGGAAGAAAGGAGAGGATGGCTACCCGTGCACAGCTGATCCTTTGCCTTCAAGGTTTACCTTTGTCTGAAACCTACTCTTTTTTTTGAAACAGGGCCTCTGTTGCTCAGGCTGGAGTGCAGTGCTGTGATTACAGTTCACTGCAGCTGCGATCTCCCGGGCTCAAGCGATTCTCCCACCTGAGCCTCCTGAGTAGCTGATACTACAGGTGTGCACCACCATGGCTGGCTATTTTGTTTTTTTATTTTTAGTAGAGATGAGATAACACTGTGTTGGTCTCCAACTCTTGAGCTCAAGTGATCCTGCTGTCTTGGCCTCCCAGTGTTGGGATTATCAACCTGAGCCACTGTACCCAGCCTGAAACGTACTCTTCAGTAGGAGAAAATTATGTAGCTTTGTGGGGAACAGCTATTCTCTAGGAATAGGCTTCTTCAAGATCAAACTAAGATCAGAATTGTTAAAGTAGTGTAGCAAAAGGAAAGATATTATATTTCAGAGAATGTCCTAATAGCTCAGATGAAGATGCCATCACTTAAATACGACCAGACTCTACATGTATTAGTTGTTCTTCTTCCTTTTGTTCAAGAAGGACTATTAAGCACCAATAAATAAATAAATGCCTGCTATCACACATCCAGGATCACCAAATGGAGCTGTACATGTGTAATAGGCAGAAAAATGGACCCCAAAGGTGTATATACCTTAATTGTTGGAACCTGTGAAAATTCTTTGCAAATGTAATTAGAATAGGGAAATTAAACTGGATTACGCATGTGGGCCCAATCTAATCACATGAGCTGTTAACAGCAGAGATTCTCTGTGGCCAGAGGCAGCAGAGAGATGCAGCAGAAAAAGAAGTCAGAGAGACTCTAAGTATGAGAAGAATTTGACATGTCCATGCTGACTCTGAGATGCAAGAGGCCATTAACAAGGAAGAGATATGAACCTTTCAGAGCTGAAGGTGGTCCCTAGCTGATAGCCAGCACAGAAATAGGGACCTACAATTCCAAGGAAATGAATTCTGCCAGTAACCTGAATGGGCGTAGAGTCTTTCCACAGCCTCTGGATAAGAGCCCAGAGGGCTGACACCTTGATTTTGGCCTTGTGATATTAGGAGCAGAGCAGCCAGCTGAGCCATCCTGGCATTCTGATCTATAGAAACTGAGAGGTAAGACATTTTTGTTGTTTCAAGCTGCTAAGTTTGTGGTAAGCTGTTATGATGGCCGTAGAAAATTAATATGGCTGGGCGCGGTGGCTCACACCTGTAATCCCAGCACTTTAGGAGGTTGACGTGGGCGGATCACCTAAGGTCGGGAGTTCGACATCAGCCTGACCAACATGGAGAAACCCCGTCTCTACTAAAAATACAAAATTAACTGGGCGTGGTGGCACATGTCTGTGATCCCAGCTGCTGGGGAGGCTGAGGCAGGAAAGTCACTTAAACCCAGGAGATGGAGGTTTCAATGAGCTGAGATCACGCCATTGCACTCCAGCCTGGGCAACAAAAGCAAAACACCATCTCAAATAAAAAAAAAAAGAAAATTAATACACTATGTGAGAGGTGGCTGGACAGCAAATAGCTGTTTCAAAGAACTACCTTTATGATTTTCCATTTAGCCTCTGTATTTGAATATTTTTTTCTGATAACGTCATGTGAACATGTAGTAACATGACTCTTTAAATCAGCAAGTACCTCAGTTTCATATACTTTAGACCAGGGCATGACTGCCTTTATTTTTTATTCCTTTGATGCTCCTTAAGGTAAATTTTGTGCACAGCTCTTTGTCTCTCTATATAACTTAAACCCAAGATATTACATACATTCAGTATATGTGCTATTATTAAGTATATAGCTTGATGAAGTTTTCATACGTAAATACCTGAGAATCACCATCCAGATTGAGATATAGAATATCTTCATCACTTTAGTAGATGTTCCTGCAAACTTAATGCCTTTTTCTAGTCAATACTTGCTGCATTCAGAGTCATCCACTTTTCTAACTTACACCATCATTGATTAGTCATGTCTGTTGTTGAAATTCATGTAAATGGAATCATGCAGTGTGTACTTTTATGTCTGGCTTCCTTCACTCAACACACTGTTTTTGAAATTCACTCATGTTGTATAAACAGCTCATTCCTTTTAAAGCACTGTATAGCATTCTGTTGTATGCCTAAACCTATATTTGTTTATTCAGTCTCTCACTGATGGTTATTTGGGTTGTTTCCAGTCTTGAGCTTTAATGAGTACAGCTGCCATGTGCTTTCTTGTACATGTCTTTTGGTGGACACATATACACATTTCTCATGGGTACATCCTTATGAGTGGAATTTCTGAGTCTACTCGTAGGGTAGATTAACCTATATTTTAAGTCAGATTATTCCAAACACATAATTCAAAATTGGTAAATTATGTTTAGCCATTTTCATGTGATATATTATTGTTAAAAAAATGTTTTTGGAGTGCTTCATGAATTTGTCATCCTTGCTCAGGGGCCATGCTAATCTTCTTTGTATTGTTCCAATTTTAGTATATATGCTGTCTAAGGGAGCACTTCATATGATATATTATTGATAGAAATAATTAAAAAAAATTTTTTTTGAGACAGCGTCTCACTCTGTTGCCCAGGCTGGAGTACAGTGGCGTGATCCCAGCTCACTGCAAACTCTGCCCCCTGGGTTCAAGTGATTCTCCTGTCTCAGTCCCCCGAATAGCTGAGATTACACGGCCATGCTAATTTTTTTGTATTTTAGTAGAGATGGGGTTTCGTCATGTTAGCCAGGCTGGTCTCAACCTCCGGTCTTCAGGTGATTCTCCCGCCTCAGCCCCGCAAAGTGCTGGGATTACGGGCGTGAGCCACCACACCCAGCTGAAATAATTTTATTTATACAAATGAGCTAAGAACCTATTGCCAAGACCAGCTCGGTAGGGGAGACCCTAACCCAGCAGTGTTAATAGTATTAAAGACACACATACAGAAATATAGAGGCATGAAGTGGGAAATCAGGGGTCTCACAGCCTTCAGAGCTGAGAGCCCCAAACAGAGATTTACCCACATATTTATTAACAGCAAACCAGTCATTAGCATTGTTTCTATAGATAATAAATTAACTAAAAGTATCCCTTATGGGAAACAAAGGGATGGGCCAAATTAAAAGAATAGGTTGGGCTAGTTAACTGCAGCAGGAATACTCCCTTAAGACACAGATCGCTCATGCTATTGTTTGTGGCTTACGAATGCCTTTAAGTGGTTTTCCACCCTGGGCAGGCCAGATGTTCCTTGCCCTCATTCCTGTAAACCCACAACCTTCCAGCTTAGGCGTTAGGGCCATTATGAACATGTCATAGTGCTGCAGAGATTTTGTTTATGGCCAGTTTTGGGGCCAGTTAATGACCAGATTTTGGGGGGCTTGCTCTCAACACCTGTAAATGTCATAATATAGGTATGTTATCTGCATGTAAGTGAAGCTCTATTCTTTTGAAAAAGAGCAGACAATCAGAAAAGCTATTTATGACTTAAAACAAAGCAGCTATAGGAAAGTTTGGTTTCTCAGAACTTAAAAAGCCATACTAAAGGTGACCCTGTATCTCTGTGTTATGTTTAGCTTTGCAGCATTTTCTGCTCTACTCAACGTAGTAAAGACTATACTTCCCGTCTCATGACCTTTCTTTATCACTGGATGTCATTCTCAGCATGAGGAGGCACAGCATGAGCATTCCTGATTTCACCGAAGCAGCGACTTTCCCTTCCTTTTCTCTGACTACCCAGGAACCCAAATCTCTGTTTGCAAAGAGGCTTATAAGTGCCCTGGCCATTGAAAAAGAGGGATTCCTTCTACATTGAGCAGTTTGAGTGGGTCTCTGAAAAGTCTTGCAGCACAATTCACAGGCAACACATGGGCAGCTGACGGCCACACTGTAGTTACCAGATTGCAGTCAGTGTGGTTCTCCATCATCCAGGTGATGCAAGGTGCTCCCTCACTTGGTCTCCTCCAGGCCTTGGCCTGGCTCCCGAGCACTGGCCATCCCCCAAGTGTTCTTTGGGCTCTCGGTATTAGTTCTGCACCTTTTCATGGGACCCACCAGGACCAGACCATTGTCTCTTGCCCCACGCCTCTCACCTTCTCTACTTTCTTTATAATTTTTCTGTTATCACAGATACTCTGGGTGTTACTTCCCTTAAACCTTCCTTTTTGATTCTTTGACAATATTCAGGAGTCAAAAATACACATTGCTTTTCCTTCTCAAGGCAATGTGGGTGATTCTGCTGACTCGGGGAAGAGTGTGTAAAGGGGAAGAAAACATACATATTGTTATTTCTATTATGCCATGTATTCATTAGGATTCTCCAGAGACACTGAATCAATAGTATGTATATACATTATATATTATAAGAATTGGTGCATTCAATTATGGAGGTTGGTAAGTCCACAATCTTCAGTGTGGGCCAGAAGATTTTAGACCCAGAAGAGCTGATGGTGCATTTCTATCTCAAGACAGTCTGCTAGAATTTCTTTCTTGAGGGGGTGGCTGATCTTTTTGTTCTTCTTAGGCTTTCAACTGATTGAATGAGGCCCACCCACATTATAGAAGGCAATCTACTTTACTTAAAGTTTACTGATTTAAATGTTAATCTCATCCAAAAACACCCTCCAAATTGACACATACAGTTAACCATCACATGTCATTACACTCATGATCTTCAGCAGCACACCATGACTAAATTGGCATCTATCTAGTACAAAATTTCAATTTTATGGGAAAGACAATGCATTGTGGATTAAGATGATGTGGATTTGAATCCCAGTGATCTTTGAATGTGAATCCTAATTGTGTCATTTGGAAAAACCTTTAACTTCAGTCATCACAGAGCTGCAGTTCTCAACTGGGGCAATTTGTCCTTCCCCTTATATCCCCAGAAGACATTTGATTACATCTGAAAACATTTTTGGTTGTTACAACTAGGGTGGGAGTGGGAGGAGTTGTTATTGGCATCTCTGGTGGGCACAACTCAGGGATACTAACATCCTATGATGCATACAACAGCCCCCCACAACAAACAATCACCAGGCCCCAAATATCAGGAGTGTTGAGGCTGTGAAACCTTGCAGTAGAGGTAAACAGACAATGCTAGGATATAAAAAGCTGGGCATGAATGGAACATGGGAGGGTTGTCAGGCAAGAAAACCAATAAAATTATGCTCAACCTGATCTTATAGTTTTTGCCAATTCCTAAATAGAATATTGGGAAGGTGATATTTTAAATTGGGAAATGAATTATTGGAGGCTATGCTATGATTTGGGGAAAAGAGATCAGACTTCAGGTTGGCAGGAACATAAACGTGTTAGTATTTTACTGAATTTCCCCCTTGTGTCATTGGCTCACAGGATTTCACAAAGGTTTGAAGGTCTGGGATGGAATGGTGAAGGTGACATCACTGTGAGCAAGTGTGGGTCAAATGAGGGGGATGAACTGTGGCTAAGAAACCTAAGAGAATATTTTCGTGAGAAGATGTAAAAGGATAAATATAATATGACTTACCAAATGCCTTTAAGTAATAGGTTACTATTTTGTTAGCTCATAATTTATTCTGGCAGTCTGTTTAACCATATGCACAGTCTCCTGAATATGATTTAAATGTTAAGTCCTAATTACAAAACTCTAATTCAAAACAATTTTAAGTAAGGCTGTTGAAAATTAATGTCAATGCAAATCATGAAGTCACTCTCATTAGGGAAATACACATTAATTTTAATTTTGGGCCTCTCTGAACTAATATCAAATAGAATTACATAAAAAACAAAAATGGCCAAAACTTTTGAGATATTATATTCTGCCAACTAAAGTTATCCAGGAATATGTAACAGCTACATAATCTCTTTATAAACAATTTACTTTTGAGATATTATATTCTACAACTAAAGTTATCCAGAATATGTAACAGCTACATAATCTCTTTTATAACAATTTTTAAATAATTTAACAATATATAAGATTATTAGGGACCTCTTAAACTTTGTAGAACTGATTTTGTTGGCTTCATTAGCTTCTGCCTTGCATTTTAACAGGCTTATCCAGGAATATGTAACAGCTACATAATCTCTTTATAAACAATTTTTAAATAATTTAACAATATATAGATTATTAGGGACCTTCTAAACTTTTAGAACTGATTTTGTTGGCTTCATTAGCTCCTGTCTTGTTTTAACAGGCTTTCTTTGTATATGTTGAATTATTGGAGTCGACTAAGTTGGTCAATGTGCTGTGAGGGTCACTACACATGCCCTTTTGTTTAAATTAATCAGTCTCTGAAAAGAAGAAAGACAATTTAATTTTACCAACTGAATCCAGGAGAAAAATGAATACATTAAAGCAAGTGTGAAATTCTTTCCAGTTAGCATGCACAGAGAATGTAACTAATAATAGCCACGAGTTTTCTGTCAAGCAGGTCAATATATCTCTTTATCTATTATAGTCAATATTGTAGCATTCATTCATTTATTATTCATTCACTTACCATTTATTGAAACCTTAAATTTGTGCTCAGTCAGTGCACTGTGAATGGTGATAAAGAGACAACTGAGAATCTAATCATTGTCTGGTGGGAGAGATTGACATTACAAAGTGCAGTCGTACATGCATTCTGTGAGACAGAAATTCATGGAGGAAAGCTGGAAGAGATTCACCTGGACAGGTAGCCTGGAGTATAAAGAGTAGGCCTAGAAAGCCCAAAGGACATTAGGATTTATTTTGAGAGATGATGGTTGCTTAGTTAGGGTGACAGCAGGGTGGTGATGAAAAGAGGTCTTAATCTAAATATATTTTAAAGGTGGAGCTAACAAATTTTGTGGCATGAAATCAAAGAGAACAGTTTAGAAAGGCTTTAAAGATTTTAGAGCCAAGTACAGTGACTCATGCCTATAATCCCAGCACTTAGGGAGGCCGAGGTGGGTGGATGACTTGAACTCAGGAGTTCGAAACCAGCCTGGGCAACCTGACAAAACCCTGTCTCTACAAAAAAAATACTAAAATTAGCTGAGTATGGTGGCATGTGCCTGTAGTCCTAGCTACTCGGGAGTGTGAAGTGGGAGGATCACCTGAGTCCTGTAGTGAGGCTGTAGTGAGACATGATCGCACCACTGCACTCTAGCCTGAGTGACAGAGTGAGACCCGGACTCAAAAAAGAAAAAAGAAAAAAAGAAAAAAGATATTGGCAAGAGCAAGTAGGTTGGTGTTGTTATTTACTGAGACTGAGAAGAACTGGCATGATCTAAGTGTGACATGATAATTATATATCCAAGTGGAGATTGAAAGAGATAGTTGGGGTAAATAAGCTTGGAATTCAGGGGACAGTCTGCATTGGAAATATACATTTGAGTATCTCAAGCATTGAGATAATATTTAAAGCCATAAAACTGGGATAATCCCCTCATTCAGCAAAGTGATGTGTAGTGACTGGGAAGATGAGGAGCCAGCAAGGAGAACTGGGACCATTAGAGCAGGAGGAGAATCTCAATAGGGTGTGCTATTCAGGACACCAGACACTTGAGACG